TTCTGGGAAGCCCCATTTTTCCCCCTTTTTCCCCTTCCGTTTTTTTTTTAAAAGGGAAAAAAAAAAAAACCTCGGGGGGGGTTCCCTGGGAAATTTCCAGCAAGCCCCTTTTGGAACCAAGGGGGGGGTCAAAAAAAAAAAAAATTTTGGGGTTGGTGGGAAAAAAAACCCCCCGGCCCCCTCTTGGGTTGGTTTAAAAGCCCCCGGGGGGCAAAAAACCCCCCGATGGATGTTTAAAACCCGGGGGCCCCCCCCCCTTTTAAGGGGTGGGGGGGGATGGAAAAAAATACCCGTTTTTCCCCCCCCCCCCTGGGGGAAAAAAGGAAAACCCCTTTGTTCCCTTTTTGGTCCGGGGCGGCCCCAAAATTTAACCCCCCCCCCCCCCCCCCCCCCATCCAGCGCACCCTTCATGCGACTCGCCGTGTACCTCACGGTGCTTCGCGCTTGGTAATGAGAGAACCTGGTCCGGTGAGAATCCGGCGTGCTCCGCCCCGGCTTTGTAGGGATGTGAGGTCAATGGTCTAAAGACTACGGCATGCACGACTATAAGTACACCCCCCCCCAACCGCCCCAACAACCTAACAGACTACTACATGTCTCTCATTCTCTAGTTCGCACGCTAGACGGAAGACAGGTAGGTGTGGAATCGCCCCCGCCCCTGCCTCCCCCTCCCCCCGCTCCACCACACGGAGCAAACGCCTTCCTTCTTCTTTGCCGCTTTCACCGACGGCCGCCCTTCGTCTCTGGGAGGTACCACGTGTTTTGGGGTTGAGAGGTCAACGGCAACGCACGGTCCCCAAAAAGTGAAGACGCAGGCGCAGGCGAGAGGGGATTGGAACGGGGCTTGTTACCAGCAGGTGAGGGAGGAGGGCCTGAAAGCAGTTGTATTCGTCAGCTAACGGCTTTGTTTCAAAATCAAAGTGTGCCAGAAAAGAACTCTGGACCTTCCGATCTTCTCGAGTACTCAAATGTCCGGCACCGTTGTGACGCAGGTTCTATCACCTGCTGTTTGTTGTCGAGGCAGTTTTTTCACGACGCCTGACTTGTAGTTTGTACTCTAGCCGCTACAACTCAAGTTGCTTACACCCTACAACGCTGACCCTTGGGTTGTGCTCGACAAGCTGATTCGTCGAGGGAACAGCCAATGAGGAACCACGGACACGGAACAGCAACACAGAACGACAACGACCACAACAGCTTCTGCCAACCTTGCACAACATCGATGCTACATGCTACAAGAATCGTCCAATCACCTTCCACCCCGCTGTCGCCATTCTGCGGTGCCGCTGCGCGCGCCACCCGATCCGCCCTGAACTTCGCCATTGCTTCCTCTTTCTCCTGCGGGGTGTACGATGGGCGCATGGGCGCATGTACAGAAGCAACGAGCGGGTATTGCGATCGAAGGAAGAAATGCAGAAATGCAGCAAAAAGTTGTAGCTGTTGGTAGCGTTTAATGGCATTGTGGTAGGAATCTACGCACGTCTGTGCGTTGTGTCGTTACAACGAAAAGATGGATATAGGACCGACCCTCAAAATAACAAGAAGACACTACAGGTGACACCCTATTACCTCAAAGCGCAAACGCGCATGCACACACACATGAGCTTTACAAGCATTCTGTGCTTTCAACCGCACTGAGACTGACGTCCTGTCAATGGTTAGCCGGTTAGCGCGATCGACGCCAAAAATAAAAAACAACACACATACGTGTACTGCTGCGATGCCGCATAGACACACGCACGTCAGTCAGGTAGTAGGAAGAAACCTCTGTACCTTTTCTGCGATGGCATCCCGGTTCTTCCTCGCGCTGTACTCCTGAAGCAATCGTAGCTGCTCAGCCGCCTGCCGCAAACACCAAGCCAAGACAAACAAAGTCATTTCGAAGTGCAGCCGTACAAAGTCTTCTCCGAAACCGGTTAGACACTAAATTTAACTACACACACATAGGGGTAGCAGGAGGTTCTTTCGTGGTGGGTGCATACTGGCCGAACATGTAAAGTCGTGCCTCGCTTAGGAACACCAAAATTAAGGGAACTCCCTCGGACCAGGAAATGTTTTTTTCACAGGCATGGTGGCTCGCAGAATGTACAACATAAGGAGGGGTATCAGCCTTAAGGACGCTTCCCCGACTTAAAACATGTGTGACTGTGTCCTTACCCGAGGTTCGACTCTTCATCGAACTGTTTTCCACTCGTTGGCGTACTGCTTTTGGTCGTTTTTCTCAGGCAGGGCATCAGGACCTTCACGACCGGAAACAAGCATGTTACTCGCTCATCCTCACTCTATTCGTTTTCGGTTCTTCCCGCAGACTCCCATCCCATGCATTTGATCCGTCCGTTTCAAGGGTACATGTGGGACGTCGAGATTACCAGATCCCGATTCCATCATAACTACAGTGTAGTACACGTGCTATGTATACACAGGGCGCTTGCTCTACATCGAGCGACAAGGCACGTACGTATGTAATGTACATCTTAGTCGCATGTCGATCGAAAGACCGAAATGAACGACAGCGAGGTGAATATCCGAGCAAATAACAAGACCTCCACGCAATTCAAGCGAATTAGTGTTCTTGTGGGTTTCCTGTCTGATGGAAAAAAAAATATGCCGGACGACGTGGACCAGGCGCCGTCCATCAACACACATTATTTCGAAAAAAAATGATCAAGGTGAGATTCGAACTCACGCTCTTTCGAACTAGTGCCTTAAACTAGCGCCTTAGACCGCTCGGCCACTTGACCACGAGATTGTCTATGCTCGGCGTGATACTGACCGGACGCTGGTTTTTCCGGACACGATATTGGGCGGTATATTGTAAGGTTCGAGAATCCAACTCAAAAATGTGCAATTTCCCTTTCGGAAAAAAGGAACATCGTGTCTGTCAACACGCCTTTTATAGTGCAGTCGTTTTTTTTTTGCACCGGTGGCCATGGAATGCGGCCGTTTGTATTTTTCCATTTGCTACTCCCGTACCACCTCATGATCACCGGGCGGTTTGGTTTTTCGGGGATCTCTGTGCACTGAGTGACACCATAGCAATAGCAAAGTCATCCGCCGGTAGCTGTGTGTATGGTGCCTCATGTGGGGTGGTTTGCTAGAGACCGTGAGGCGCTGGGTGGTTGAGAATTGAAGTTGGCGAGAGGGGCAATAACTGCTGTTGTTCGAAAAGACCCCCCGCTCGAACAAACAGCTTTTGACAGATTTGTGTGCCATGACAGGTTTGGCTTCGTGGCGACCCCTCTTTACTGACCGAACCAACAGATACCACAACGCCATCCGCCCGTAGCTGTGTGTATGGTGTTTCTCGTGATATGGTTTTCAGAGACCGTGACGCGCTGGGAGGCTGAGCAACGAAGTTGGCGAGGGTTGACTGACTACTGGCTTTGTTCGAAAAATGACATCATCATGCCGCTTACTGATGTACAGGTTTCTTGCCGTGTCACCGGTGGCGCTGTAGCTATCCCTCTCCACTGACCGACAGAGAGCAGTTGATGGAGCTCACATCCCGGCAAGTTTCAGGGGGTGATCTAGAGAGCGAGAAAATGAAGATATCGTCCATCGTTGTTTGTGTGTTGGGATTATCCTGCTGCGTCTCTTTTCAGGTCTGAGCAAACGGTCCGGTGTGTGTGTCAGCTGGCCAACAATTTTTGCTTTGAGCGCACCTGGCCACACGGTAACCACTTATCAACGGGTGGAATTGCAGCACATTGCTCCGAGGGTTGGTCGGAGCCCTTGATGAGCTCGCTACGACCTACTTGCTGCGCAATCGATGTTTTTGTCCGTGTGGTGTGCATTTCAAAACGCAAAAAAAACAAATGCGCCATCCAATCAAAAATTATCATCATTTCCAAACGTATGACCAGTTGAAAACATGAAATCAAAAATGTGCAGCCGGAAAAGTGTAGTTTTTGACCTTACAAGAAACAGTTCTTTGTCCGGAATCAGAAATGACACATTTTTGACAGACAAAATCGAGCTTTTAAGAAGAGCAGTTGGCCAAAATCGGGTACACCCGGTCCCAACACGGCCATAATCGGGTACCCCTACAAGATGCTGCTGGGAGCGGCCGCATGCCACCATCTGATTGGCCGACGCCCGCCCCTACCCGACCTTGACCGCCATTCCACCGGGTGCACCCGATCTTGGCTACTCACCCCCCGGAGGAGTACCCGGTTTTTCTTTCCCCAACCCGAAAATGGCTGGGCTGTTCGACCAAAACCCATGCACACATCCACGGGTCGGACGCACACCACTGGCCCTCGTTTGTCGCCAATAATGAGAAAGTAGCGGGAGGGAGAGAAATATATATGTCTATTCTTGAGATGAGTCCCGTATGTGTCGCATCTCGTGAGGGAGGTAGTCATCATCCAGCTCTTTCTTCTTCTCGGTCATTTGCACAGACCGCCAGTCGTTTCCCCCAAGGGAGACTTCCACCGCCGGCGGGGGGTCTGCCTCCGCCCGCCGGGCCGTCAGAAGGTCCGAATTCGAGGGCAGGGCGTTGCTGACGTGTACTTGTGTGCATGGGTTTTGGTCGAACAGCCCAGCCATTTTCGGGTTGGGGAAAGAAAAACCGGGTACTCCTCCGGGGGGTGAGTAGCCAAGATCGGGTGCACCCGGTGGAATGGCGGTCAAGGTCGGGTAGGGGCGGGCGTCGGCCAATCAGATGGTGGCATGCGGCCGCTCCCAGCAGCATCTTGTAGGGGTACCCGATTATGGCCGTGTTTGGACCGGGTGTACCCGATTTTGGCCACTGCTCTTTAAGAAACCGCCTTCGTTTTTCATTTTGCACAAAAATATGTCGACAAAAAATGATCAAGGTGAGATTCGAACTCACGCTCTTTCGAACTAGTGCCTTAAACTAGCGCCTTAGACCGCTCGGCCACTTGACCGTGTGACGTCGCACGCTCAGCGTGATACTGACGAAATGCCTGGTTTTGCCGGGCGATATTTTGAGTGCATTTTGCACAAAATTATGTCGACAAAAAACTCTCAAGGTGGCGTTCGAACTCGCGTTCTTTTAAACTAATGCCTAAGCCCGCCCGGCCACTTGACCACGTGTGGCATCACGCCCGGAATGGTACTGACAAGATGCCGGGTTTTTCCGGACACGGTGTAATTAACGTAGGTGACACAAAATAAAACACCCGTGCGATAACAATTTTGAAGGTCCAAAAATGATCACGCGGGTGTGGTAATCTGTAGGGGGTGTGATATCTTGTGTGACCCGTGTGACAAGCTGCATTCACAGGACTCCACCCCGCAGGGGGTGTGATAAAGATGGGGTGTGATAGTGTTACCCGTGGGATGAAGTGCGCCCACACGACCCAACCTACAGGAGGAGCGATAACGAGGGTGTGTGTTAATCACGGAGTGAGATAGCGTTACACATACCATGTGCGGGCCTCAGCAGCACGGTCGGTGGCAGGCACAGCGGGTGCTGGGAGAGTCTCACGGGCCACAGAGAATAGTACGTAATTGGGCGCGCCGCCGCCGCTGGAGTCTGACTTACTCACGGGCCACAGAAAATAGTACGTAATTGGGCGCGCCGCCGCCGCTGGAGTCTGACTTACTGCAGCAGTCTGAGCCGCGGTGCTTTCAGCAGTGTTGTGTGCTTCGTTCATCTCCGCGGTCTTATCGGTCGCCATAGCTATTTAGCGCAAGCTTGCGCGTTGTACGTATGTAGTAACGGCCTACCACACCGGTGTGATAGAGGGGGCTCCGTAGATATATATTTTCGGCTCAACTTAGGGGGTATGGTATCTTCTGTGACCGTGTGATATATCGGTGCTTAACCGTGTTTAAAAATATATATCACACGGTTGTATCTTTTGCCGCTGTATCTTTTGCCGCCTACAGCACGGTAGTGTTTCGTTTGGCACAAAAATAATTCGACAAAAAATGATCAAGGTGAGATTCGAACTCACGCTCTTTCGAACTAGTGCCTTAAACTAGCGCCTTAGACCGCTCGGCCACTTGACCATGGTATCACGATGCTCGGAGTGGTACTAACAAGATGCCTGCTTTTTCCGGACGATAAGATGGCGGCCTTCTTCTGATTCTCTCTGTTGGCTCTTGCATGGCTCTGGTGGGGAGACATGTACACATGGTCGACAAATGCATGCCAGTTTTCCGGCGGAAGATGATTCCGAGGAAAACGGAGATTTCCGATGAAAAACGGAGATTTTCGATGCGAGGAAAACGGAGATTTCTGATGAAAAACGGAGATTTTCGATTAATCATTCCGGCAATCAATATCCAGGGACGGCGACGGTGCGAAAGAAACGCATTCAACGTCCACCACACACACACACATACACACACATGCCAAGAGATCGTTGTCAAAATGAGGATCAGAATGATGGTAGCGACAACAAGGAGGATAATGGTGAAAGTACTCCTAAACGAACTCGAGTCAAGGTAGTAGCCTTGGGAGACGCGTGCAGTTTTCTTCTGTTGCCACCGTTTCTGTCTTTGATCCGAAGGATAGTTTAGTCTCCCCCATGCTGCACCCTCACGGGGTCCCAGTTCATGGCAGATAGAAGTGTGCTGTGTTTTCAACCGCACTAAGACTGACGTCTTTTCATTGGTCAGCCGGTTAGCGCGGTCGATGCCAATAATAAAGACACACACGTGACCTCGACAAAATGAACCGGTTGTCGTGGGAGAACAAAAGCCAATACATATGTGCGTGTGCAGTGCGGGAGACCCTGTTCATTCGCGGACGGCGGGGGTATGAACTGTGAACGACTGCGTTCATCGTGCCATGACACATATACGGAACTCGCCACCACGGAATATAACAAGTACCCGGGTTCGGGCTCCAAAATATCGCGGCTTGAGAACTTGACATCAAGACCAGGTGCTCCGCGAAGCACCCTATGCTAAAGCCTACGTAGTCGCTGCCGCTTTTGGCTACCCTGGAGAGAGGAAACAAGCAACGAGCTCCAGGCAAAAAAACAAGAGGTTCTTAGGTGGTCGCACCTTCTTTACGCACCTCGACACAAAAAAAAACGTGTTGTAGTGTTTGGGGGAGAGGAAAAGTGAGCACATGCGGGTGCAGGTCACGTATGTATGCGTACAGTACACACCTCTTCTGACTCGTTCCGGCGGCTCTTTTTCGGTGGCGGTGGCGCCGCGGAAGGCTTGACCACCGCAAGGGTAGCCCTCGGGAGCAGTTCTGTCAAAAGACGGGAGACAAAACGAGTCCGCAACAGCAACACAGCGAAGGCAAGACGGCACCCAACGTGGTGACGTCACGAAAAGGAACACAACTTCACGAGAAGGAATATAAACACGCGTCGACGAACACGAACAGCGAAAAGGAGGAGAGGAAGGGGTTCGGGGGATGGGAACGGGATTTTTCGCCCACGATAGTCGAAGTTGTCCTTATCTGAGTACCGCTCTCCCAGCAACAAAAACAAACGGAAATGAGGTAAATAAAGGTTGGAAAGGGCGGTGGGTGGGATGAGTTGGTGGGATGAGTTGGTGGGATGAGTTGGTAGGAGAGGTGGAGGGGGAAGAGAGAGGGAGAGAGGGACGGAGAGAGAAAGCAAGAGGGAGAGACAGATAAACAGACACGCTGAAGAGAGAGAGAGAAAGAGAGAGAGAGAGAGAGAGAGAGAGAGAGAGAGAGAGAGAGAGAGCGAGAGAGACACAGACAGACAGACAGACAGACAGACAGACAGACAGACAGACAGACAAAGAGAGCTGGCCAATTTCCCTTCTCAGTAACATTTCGGTGTTGTCTTGCCTACAAAACAAAAATACTTGATCAAGACGGACACACAGCGACAAAGCACGAACAGTAACAACCGCGCTGTTCCAGCAAGTCGTACACCAAAAACGAGACACAGCAGGTGGTCGGTTGCTTCATTCGCGTTCGTTTGGAGATAAACTCCGAGCATCTCCCACCGCATACATGCGACATTTGGTTCAAAAGACACGCAGAAAAAAAAACGGGGTCGGAGGGGGGGGGGTCGGCAATCCTTCACCCTATTTACACTCGCAAGCACGAGTTCGGTTCTTGTTGATTCTCACTTGCATCTGCCAGAGACATAGGCAGCATTTGTTCTCCAAGCTCGGTTTCCGGCACGGTTGTCGTGCGCAGCCGCAAGTCCTCCCTGGGGCACACATGCGGCGAGACACGGTGCGGCAGGAGACACGCAAATGGTATTTTCGCTATGCACAGCAACGTGTTTCTACGATGTTTTGCTCTATGTCACGAATCTTTTTCGTGTCTTTTTTCGTCACAGCTGACATCCATCCCATTCCCCGTACCGTTGCTGTTTTGTGCGTGTTCGCCTCGACCACAAGGCGTCTTGTCTTCGCGACCCACGACATCTGATACCACGCCCCCCTCCGCAGCACTCGCCTGCTGGTATGTCGACCCCGAGACTGACAAGCTGACAAGAGCACAGCAGGCCGATCGGCCAAAACGCACGTGAAACTACAATACACAACACGCGTCACAGCAGTCATTGCGCAAAACACACGTGGAACATTGTATCACCGCCGCCCGGGGGGGGGGGGGGGGGGGGGTAGGGTCGGAAACAAGGGGGTTTCCCCCCCCAAAAAAACCGGCGAAACAACCAC